AGAAGAACAAAAACTTGGCGACTCTCAAGTTTTTTTTCATAGTTTTTTTTGCCCAAAAAAAACTATTTCCCCCCCCCCCCCCCCCCCCCATGGTGTCGTTTTTGCTGCTTCATTTTGACTTTTGGTTTGAATCCAGTCAGTCCATCAGGAAAGACAATAAGCGGAATGGAGCTGATGGTTTTGTTGAGTTTAGGTTGCTGTTGTTGAATAGCGAGTGATTCTTTTATAAGCAGTCGATATGAATGCGAATCTTTTGCTAGAATTCTCCAATTTTTCCAATTGATCGTGTGAATAAATTCGGTTTTGTGATCATATATGGCAGATTTAATTGTTAATTCGGGTTGACATATTGGTATTTCTTTTGGAAAGTAATTGATTATTTTGTTTTTGTTACGATCAGAGCGTCTTAAGTTACATAATGATGGAAGAGGCAGAGTGATGATTGTGGATGTTGAAGGTGATGATAATGTGTGAATAAGTTGTTCTTGTGGCGCGCCATGTTCACGAAATCGGCGTATGGCTTGGCGATTGGTTTTACCGATGTATGATGCGTCACAGTCATTGCATTTAATATTGTATACGAGATGAGATTGAAGGTAATTTGGAATTGGATCTTTTCGTGGAAATAATGCTTGAAGGCTTGGTGGAGGACGTGGGATCGGTTGAAGATGTATATGTGGTTGAATATTGGAAGCTAAATTGATTAAACGTTTTCCAAGAACGGTAGTAGGTCGTCCAACATAAGGAATATCAATTAAGAGTACTTCTTTCTTGTTTGTGTTTTCCTCTGAAGATAGTTTGGTTTCAATTGTTTTTGACGTATTGGATTGAGGAAGCATTTCTGGTTTGTTTTGTTTTGCATAAAATCGGTCTAGTGTTTTTCTAATTTGTTGTTCGATAACATTTACTGGATAACCGTTGGCTAATGCAACATCCTTGATAAACATGAACTCATCATGTAATAGTGAATGAGTAGAACAGATACGAATGGCACGATATATCATACTTGATAATGCACTTTTTTTGTAATGTGTTGGTACGAAAGAGGTCCATTTAAGTATAAGACCAGTATAGGAAGGTTTACGATATATTGTTGTAGAAAATTGTGAACATCGAACAGTAGTTGCATGTGTAATATTAATGTCAAGAAATGATAATTGATTGTCTTTTTCTTCTTCATAAGTAAATTGAATTTTAGGATGGAATGAATTTAATATAGTTTTTAATTTTTCGGCATTGGCTTTGTTCCTGACAATGGCAAAGGTATCATCGACATAACGTTTCCAGTATACTAATCCGTTACTTTTTAATTTTTTCATGAGTTGTTGTTCAAGGTGAATAAGATAGATGTCTGCGAGAAGAGGACCGAGGGGGCTTCCCATGGCAACACCGTCAATTTATAAGTAGTATTGTCCGTTAAAATAAAAATGTGTTTTTGTTGTTGCTGTTTCAAGAAGCCACTTCATATTGGTTCGGTTCTCACATGTTTTGCATAATGTATCAATATTTTGTGTGTTATCAAATATTAATGGTTTGCATTGACATAGATTTCCATAAAGTTGGTCAAGTATAATTTCGATGGTATCATTAAGTGGAACGTTGGTAAATAAATTGACGACGTCGAATGATATCATTCGATGCTTTTTCATATTAAACTTGAGTTTGTGTAATTCGTCAACGAATAGAAAGGTGTCCGTGATTAATATTTTATGCTTTCGTAAATGAGAAAGACGACGTACGAGAAATTTAGCTAATTTATAGTTGTATGTACCAGATGCAGATAAGATTGGCCGAAGAGGAAGACCGGTTTTGTGTATTTTTGGTAGTCCGTACATTCGAGCTGGTATAGAACCGGTTGGATAACAATATTTAAATTCTTCGTCGGAAATGAATTTTGTTTCTTTTAATTTGCGAAGTTTTCGAATAAGCCTATCTTCTTGTTTGATAGTACAATCTTCAGGAATTAGTTTGAAAGTGGTAGGATCATTAATGATGTTGTTCATTTTGCTAATATAATCAGTTCGGTTCATAACAACGATACCGCGGCCTTTGTCTGGTCGGGTTATGTATATTGATTTATCTTTTGAGAGACTAAGGAGAATTTTTGATGTTGTTGAATTGTTAACCTTGGATTTGGATGGCGTATTATGCGCTTTTTTATTGAAATTATCACATATGTTTCGTAATTTGAAAGCATATTGTAGTTGTTTGGGAGTCATTTTATATTCAGGTATTTCATCGGAGTCTTTTTCGTCGTAATCGTGTTTGTCGGTGCAATATCCAAGAAGGTTGACAAATAAGCATTCGATGCTACTGATGAAAGTTTCATAGTCATATTTCGTTGATGGATAAACATAATCTAAACCATTGGATAAAGCTTCGAGTTCTACAGTTGTTAGGATGCGATTTGAGAAATTTTTGACTGATTTAGCGATAAGTTGTGGTGGATTTAAAGCTATTGTTCGAGGATTTTGGTGAAAGCGTAAGTTAGTCAATTTTGTTTGGTGTGTTGTTGTCCATATTTTCTGATGGTGTGAAACGAAGTTATCAATTATTTTGTTTACACGAATAAGAATGATGTGATTATTGATATATGTGAATGTTTCAGATTTGAGGTGATTATAATGGTGATGTTCGGTAGTTAGTTGATATTTTTTTCGTTTAATTTCATCGAGAAGAATGGCGCGGTGCATATGTTGGATTGGACCATGCCGATGCGAATGAGTTGATGGTAAGTGAAAATGTACAAAAGTCGGAAGCAGATTTTCTTGACGACATTGTTTAAGGAATTTGAGATCTGATTCTAATCTTTTAATTTTTAAACGTGATTTTCGTAGTTGGTAAACCAGATCAGCTGTTGAAGGCCCATAGTGCTGCCGGAAGTAGTTGAATACATTGTTTGAGTTTTATTTGCGCAAATAAAACTATTGAATAAAACTTAGACGTCTGCAATTTGTTCTATCTCGTCTAATTTGTGCATTGTAAAATATTTCTCATATTGTATCTTATTCTGTTTATTATGTATTTTGTCTTGAAAATGAGCATGAAAGCTCGAAACGTCGACTGATTAATAAATAAAATCTTTCTTATTTAAAATAATGAATTTCCCAGCTGCTGTTAAAATTATCTTATGTATTTTCCAATTTTTGCCCATTAACTCAAACAATGTATTCAGCTAATCAGTAAGTTTTTTGTGCAACCATGATGCTTCGAAAATGACAGCTTTGATGACGTAAAATTTCAACCAGCTCAATGTATTTATTCACTAAATTTTTTTTTAATTTCATTTTTTTTCAACTTAGGGTGCATGGAGGTACTGGAAAATCACATACTACTGTTTTGTTAACAATT